GAGATCCAGGTATCAAACTTTTGGTGCCATTGTATCTAGGCGCTCTTCCTTAAGTTTCTTCATACTTTCTCTTTCTTTATTATTGGGAACTATCCACAGCACTGAAGAGCAGCCCTGAAATTGGTTTTTCTCAGCCTCTTTAATAGTAAATAGTTTCCCATCCAATATTCCTGATGGACCTTACAACCTTGAATTTTGTCTCTTCCTGCATTACGAGGTGACTTAAGACTCATAGCATATTCTTTTCATGCTCATTTTGGTAATGCCAGATGATGTTATTTGTGGGGGAAAGTAACCAGATGAGGAAGGGGAAAATACTAGAAGTAGAGGCTAAAGGAGCCTCATCTGCACTCTGTCTGATGTGGTTAGAGTGGGAGGAGCACCACAGGTGGGGATCTGACGGGTTGATATGCAATTTCCAGGATTGAGTCAATGCTTTTAAAAAATTATATTTATTGATGAATGAAGCATTGGCTGTATAATTGGCTTTGTTTCTTTTAATTTCTTAAAGTGTATCTCTCTATGTGGCAATATACATTCCTCTCTAATTTAGTAAATATTAATAATTGGGAGCCAAAAAATTGACTGGGGGATGTAAAATGTAGTTCCCCTGAAACTTTTATGAATCACCTGGGGATTTCATTGTCACAATATAGTTGAGGGCAATTTCTTTATTTACCTTGGAGTGTAAGTAGTCCACTCACCATAGTTTTTGCCGAGTTGATAATTGTCATTTGCAATGTCTGTCTATTTAGGAGGGAAACTTCAAACCAACAAAAAATGAACAAGATCATGCGTTTCTGCTGCAGCTTCTGTTCTGGTTCAAGCAATCATTCAGGTCTAATCCTTTGCTGTTTTTCCCTTTATATAAACATCGCTGAATCTCTGCCTCACTAGACTTGCTAAAGTAGAAATATTATGATTTCTTTTTCTTGTAAGATCCTTGTAATGTAGTCCATGCAACAAGAACAAAAGCGTAGTTTTCTTTTTTAAAAATTTTTGGACTTAAATTATGAAGTATAGGATGTGACGCAAAATCCTTCCATCTACTAAGGGGGAAGGACTTGGGAATTAATATATCTTGAAAGAATGGCATAACAATCTATTATAAACTTGTTAGTGCCAAATCAGCATTTCTTGAGACAATATATATCTTTAAATGATCGGTTGTTAGATAGAGGAAAAACAAGCTCGTTTCCCCTGCACAGATGTATATACATCTCCATATGCATATGTACTTTGATTGAATTTCTCTTTTTGATGATAAATATGCAATCAAATGCTGAAGTGCGGGACAGTAATAGGGTAACTATTCCACCATAAAAGTTGATGTTGATGGTTGTCCAATCTATGACAAGAAATAGTGAAGTAGGAAGANTTTACCTTATTGTATGAGCTTCTGCCTCTCTGGATCTTAACTATGAGTTGAGATTAGTTATAGAAATGGCAATTGCAGTAACTGACAGTTGGATTAGGAATGGTATTGTAGTTGGATTTTGGCATCATATAATAATAGTGGCTTTGAGTCGCTTGCTAGTTAATTGTTTATTCCTTACATTTCTGTTTTTTATAAGTGGAGTCTTTGTAACTGTATCTTCTCTAAGAATAAAATGCTGAACAGCAAGAATCCATGTATAATGCAACTTCAATGGCTGTAGGTGGGTAAATGCTCCTCCTTGCGACAGTTGCAACAATGAGACAGTAAGTCAAGGGATGGGAGTGGCTAATCCATCTGAATCACTTTACAGAGCTTCTCGAATTGAACTTTATCGGTAACACAAATACATTTTGAGTGGAATTTATTTTGTTTAGTTCTTATCTGTCAGCTTTATGTGTGCTTTATTTGTTACTGAATTTAGAAACCTGCTACAAGTTAATGGTTAATGGTTAGCATATGTGCCAATGTTGTGATTTTCCTTCCATTTTGATGAAGCTAAATTCATATAGCTTGGAGCTTGTAGATAGTGTGGATTTTATTGGGATGCTTTCTTCGTTCTTATGTTGAACCCGAATAACTAAATTAAATTTATGCAAAGTCTTACCGTATAAGTTAAGATCTGCAAGAAGTAATTTTAAGCTAATTAAGCATGGATGTGCTGACATATGTTGGGTATCATCCTTGAGAGTGGAAAGGAATTACTTTTTGAAACTAAATTTTGCAGCTATACTAAGTTAGTAATTGGACTGTTTAGTGCACTTGGAAACCTTTCTCTTTCCATTATTGGAAGACTTATCTGCTTACCATTCCTGTAGCATGTCTTCTCTGATTTATAGATGTTGACCAAGATGAAAAATTCACCACTGGGAACTAAAATATACTCAGACCTTACATCATATATTAAAATGTTTTCTTTTCATTTTTCTCACCTTCCTCTCTTGAATTTCACATATGCAAAGAATTGATCTCCTTTGTGATTCTTGACAAGTAGTAAGGTTTCTTTTATCTATTTTTTCATTTGGAGTTCCCCTTATTTCTATTCCAAATGAATTTAAGATATTTTATATTCTCCGAATATGTCCTTAATTTCTCTTTTTGATTACTGTAGCTGCAAGTTATGCTCAAATGTAACTCGCTTCCCAAGATACAATGATCCAATGAAGGTACTAAGTTTTTGCATCTGAGGTTTTTTTTTTTTTTTTTTTTTTTTTTTTTTTTTTTTTTTTTTTTTTTTTTTTTTTTTTTTG